AAGAAATGAACAAGATTCTAGAATAATAAGAATCTTATTAGAAAAAGGACACAAAATGATGTTTTACAAGACAGGGGATAAAGATAAGAATAGTATATAAAAATAAAAACATCATTACCCAAAGGTTCTTACCCAACAGATTTCCTGAATCCAGTAGATGACTTTTAACTTCATGAAATTTAAGTAATATAACAGTTTAGAAAAACTTTTTACTTAAACTGCTTAATCAGAAGTAAAGAATCCTTTTTCAGAATCTCAGAGACTGATAATTTTCAGAAGCTATCATCCATCAGAGTCTAGTAGATCTAGACTATGAGAGAGATATCTTCTGTCAGTCATCAGTCTTTGATATTCTATTTAGAGTCAAGATTTTTCTCTTGAAACTAGAGTCATGCTTAATTAATGAATATTGAGTTGGTTTCTTTGAAAGCTAACCAGAAGCAGTATCATCACAAAAAGTGAGGAAACTATTTCCATAAATATGACCATCATCTAGCTAATGATATATTCAGTATAGAAAAAATACAACATAGTTTCTTCTTAAAGATTTCTGAAGATTCTTTTAACAAAAGAGTTTCTCTAGAGATCTAACAGAGACTTTATATTTACTAATACATAAATATCTCAGTGAATTAAGAAGTAATCTAGGAAAGAACAGACATACCTCTTTTTTTTGTTATTTTCTTGGTCAAACTCCAAATGAGTATTCAGATTTGACCATAGAATTTGAATAATGTATTGAGTGGATTCTAATTCAATGGATGTTAAACCATTGACTCCACTTCTTTCACCAAACTCGATGCCTTTATCTCTTGAGTATGGGATGTAGGCTCTTCTTTCATCAAATTTTGTAAACAGCCTTTGATAAAGTACCATGGAAGATGCCTTTGCTCCTTTCTTCGATATATGCAAAAAATACATTTTGATTAATGGTACTCATATTACTATGAGTCCAGAAATGTTAGTCCTGACAGGATTTTTTTTGCTTTATGCCTTAATATGATAACAATACCATGATTCATTCCAGAGTCAGACAACGAAATCTTTTGATAAGGAAGGTTAATTCCCATCATCAGAAATTTCATATGAATTTTCTTCAACAAGCTTAAGAAGGATTAATCTGTTTGATAGATTTTCACCATCTAATTCCATTTCTTTTCTTTGGAGATTGCTAGATAAACCTTCAAGACACAACATACTCAAGTTTTATGGAAACTTGAATAACTGTGACTTTAGATTTGAATCCATTAGGCAATCTTCTCAAAATTTTCTTAGAAAGATTAGATGAAGTGTAATTGGACAAGATCCTTTACTGATTCCCACATATTTGAACATAAGGATTCAAAGATAGTTTGAACATTAGACGTATCAATGATGTTGGTATACTCAGAATTGAGATAGAGCACCTACCAGAAGGCATCTAACTCTAAAGATATTCTCAATAAGCTTCTTCTGAGATGGTGTGAGAGACTTTCAAACTTTAATCATCCATACACCATCAACTACTATAGTAACATTTTTCTCAAGGGTATTCTATAGACCTTCATAAAAATCCTTTATCAATACCAATGAATTAAAAATATATTTTGCTCTTCCATCATTTAAATTCAGTGGAATCACCCTTTGAATATGGTAGGAAAAACAATGTAATATTTTTCATGTGGCACTTGACTCCTTATTGAAGGAAAGTATTTAACAAACATATTTTTCTCATTGGATAATTATTTGCACCACTGTTAAGTGTTATACACAGACCACGCTCTGATACCAACTGAAGGTGAGAAAAATACACAAGAAGAGGGGGTTGAATTGTGTTTTTCGTTTCTTTAGTTTGCATCTGATCAGAGTTCAGAATCTAAATTGTGTTTAGATTCTGATATTTCTCCGATCCTCACCCTGAAATGTCATTGGTGGAAGGTTTTCCTCCATCTTCGTCCCAACCGAGAAAAAAAATTTCGACTTTAAATCCCCGAACAGATAATTCCCATAGGGGATCTTCACGTGTAAATTAACATCTCTAACTTTGAATCAAAATTTTCATGAAATGACGCTTTAGACAAGTAGTCACTTGTTTTCACTACTACCAATGTTCCAAGAGTTAGCCACAATTATATCTCAAAATAAATTATCATAATACTAAAAATGAACAAAGGTCATAAAATAGGTAAAATAGAAATAAAGTTAAATCATGAATTATGTCGCATATAAATCTTTTGATGGAAACAGTTCAATTTTACAAATATTAGAGCAAACCTTGCATTAATAGATATCATCATTACTATTTATCATAGTAGTACTCTCTCTGTCTCACAATGAGTGATCTAGTTGATCATTTCACACATATTAAGTAAAGTGAATAAATGAAAGAGAGATAATGATGTTTCTACTAAAGTACTTCATTCGTCCCACAATGAGTGACTCATTTGAAATAAAAAAGTGTATTAAATGAATGACTCATTTCAATTTTCCATGCACTTTTCCAATTCTACCCTCTTAATATTATTTTCATCATTCTCAATATTTGATAAGGAGTATTTTAATAAAAATATTATTCTCTCTTTTTTATTCTTTTTTTTTTAATCTGTGTGAAATAGTCAACTAAGAGCAACTATTGAAAGAGGCGGAGAGAGTCCCAATTATCAAATATTGAAAGTGGTAAAAATAGTAATGATTAAAGGGTAGAATTAGAAGGAAAAAAATTAATTTACATTATAAATTCAAAGTGATGTGGGATGAAATCAAAACTAAACCACATTTTAATTTTTAAAATAATATATCTATGACCAGTGTTTCTTCTACTGATGGGAATTTGGTGTCTTTGAGCCAAGAAAGGCACAGTGCCTTTCCACCAATCTTGTTCCTCTAATCCATCGAACCCATCAAATAACGCCATGTGTCTAACTATTATTTTTGTAAAACAAAAAAAAATACCTGTAATAATAGAAAGAAACTTTAAACATAAGCTACACAACATAGTTTCCATCAATCTATGTTGTTTTCTTTTTCTTCAATTTAATTGGAGTGTTTATTTTCATCAAAACAATTATCTAATATGGTAGAAACAACAACATCAAACCCTTCAGTCTCATAAAAATCAAATAACAGAGGATTTGCAACAAAAAGTTAAAACAATTTTAGCAGCAGGTAGGGGATTTGATGAAATTCATTCTATCAAATTTCCCATTTTTTTTCACCTAATTTAAGGTGTAAGTGATTGAATGAGATGTTTTTAATAAAATAATCAAACAATGTATTGAACTTATATTTCATTTCGCTTCGCTTCATTCCACTCTACTATGTTTCATTTTACTCCACTTCATGTTCTATCAATCCACACATAGTGTTAAAGACACCTAATCCTCATCTCTCTTCTATCCAGATTAGTTTTGATCCTCTAAAGCGATCATAATCAAATAATATATATAACTCAAACACGGATAAATACCTCAAATTAATATTAAACAATTATCAAAGACTCAATTAAGAAAAACACTACTCCCGCCCTTCAAAATAATTGTTGTTTAAAGTTTTTTTACACGGACTAAAGAATGTAACAATATTGTCATAAGACATTGCAGTTTTATTAAATTAGTCATATTAATATGTTGAAAATAATGTACAAATTCATAATTAAAGAACCCAATTAAAAAGTAACAATCATTTTTACATTAAAAATTAAAAGTAATATTCATCTTTTTTTCTCCATAACAACTGCATTTTAAAACGGAAATAATATTTAACTTACAGAAACAATATTTAACTTACAATATACACCACATTACACTATAAAATTTACCTGTCATTTAGAGGATGCTAGACTTTGTTTTGAAGAAGTATACTAGATACACCCCATTATCAAATAACAAAAAAAAAACTTAAAGCTAGTGTTTTAGCTTTTAAATATTCCACATAAAATCAAATAAATTTCTAAAATAATTATAAACATAAAAAAAATTATTTAATAAAAATTGAATCATAAACTAGTAATTTACAATCATTTAACTCAATTAAAAATTACTAGATACTATCCATCCTAATAACCAAATATTTTATAACTAGTTAATTCCACATTTAATTGTCATGAATTGTTTTATTCACAAATGACATAACTTTAATCCCAGGTTTGGCCAAACGTGACGTCGTCTTAGATTGTAGTTTCACTTTGATTGAACTTCATCAATGTAGAACCAAATAAAAGGTTCGAGTAAGTTTTATCGTTGGGTTTTAAATGTATTTATAAAAGGTATATTGGTGTAACTTCACCAATGTAGAACCAATAAAGTCAGTTGTATTTAATTTATCAATTACTTAATTTTTTTTTTCATCATTGATTTTAATTATTATAAATATTACCTCGCTTGTCTCATTGTCTAAGCGTGAATTTTATGATTATTAATGACTTTGTTTTTTTTTTTTTTGCGTGTGATCTTATGACCATTAACATCATCGTCTTCTTATATGTGTTAGGATAAGCCTATGACTTAATATCGACCACGCCTACATCACTTTGAGTCATTATATGAATATTGATACAATATCCCTCAAGTACGATGTCCGAAAAAGAAAAAGTGATTTAAGTAAGAAAATGTGAAAGTACAATACTGAATTGGTCGTAGGGTTATAAGAAGTCGCATTAACTATCTAATATCGAACCAGCCTCATAATAAAGAGAGGTGTCTTTTATTTTATAGTGGAAAATTCAACAAATCATAATCGAGATCAGTCAGAATTCGTCCAACCACCTTTAAGTATTTTGGTATGTCATTATAAATATACCGATAGAGTCCTTCAAACATAGAATCTAGCCTATAAGCAAATAAGCTAAAACTTAACCCAATAACAAAATACAATTATATCATCTGCATCAGCTACACAGGTGTTACAACCACACAATCATTATTTCTTAAAATCTACTATTAGATTATAGTTGCAGAACTAATCTATCAAAATTTAGGTTAAATTTTGATATAATGGTTCTCTAGCAACATTAGTTTTTAATTCTACTCCATGTCAATGCAGTGTTGCTTGGGAACTTCAACTTGAACACATTCATGATCATTAACTCCTTTAACAGTAGCCCAGCCACATTCAAAAGGAGCATCCAAAAAATAGAGCAAGAAAACAAGTGCAAAGCAAGAGAAAAACATAGGAATAGGTCCAAAGATCCACATGAAAAGAGGGAAAGAGAAGTAAAACGCACGCAAACCAAGTGACCAGAAATAGCTTCCACGGCTCAAAGTATTCACAACATACTCAGCAGTTTGCTTCTGTCGTCTAAGATTTGACGACAGTTTCTTGAATGGAACGTTGATGAGTATGCTTGCATGACTATAGTATCTTATTGATTGAATATTCAATAAGAAAGCCAACAAGAAACAAATCAAAATTGAGAAAAACTTCATTGACAAAACTAGCTCAGTCCTATCACCAAACACCATAGATACAACGCCTCCGTCGTTTCGATTAGTCATCAACACCGCGATAAGAGAACTCAGCATGATTGCTGTTGAAGCCAAAAGGGTTGATGCCATTAAGTTGTTTCTCAATGATTGCACTGCCAAAACTCCATTCTTGGACACGTCCTAACAAAACCAAACTTGTGAATATGAAAAGGAAAAAGGAAAAAGAAAAAGGAAAGCCATATGAATGTACCTCCATCATAGCTTGAACCCATAAGCGACGATTGATTGAATTGACACCAATGGCAGTTTTTGTGGGGTGTTTGACGATTCGGTAGAGAAGCCATAGATGGTATGTGATCATTATAAAGAGACCAGTAGGGACTAATACGAGATCAAGGATTTCCATTTCCATTTTATGAGATTGAAAAGATGGAAGATAGAAAAGAATGTATAAGTGCTAAACCGGTGTTGCCTTGTTTGTTTTGTAACAGAAATGAGTAGTTAAGGGGGTTTTATAATGAGTTGTGATATTTTGATACACTAGTTTCATAACAAAATTTTACATCTATTTTTAAAATGGCTAATAAGAAGACAATTATAATTATTGAATTTTTTAACATTTTCATTTTTTTAAATAAAAATTCTCTTATAATAAGAAGATTTTTTTTATCCGCATTTAAACTTTACTATTGAATTTTTTTAACCTTTTCAATTTTTAAAATATGTGTCACTTAAAAGTAAAAACTTTTTTAAAAAATACCAAATTTAAAAATAATATTTGATATATTTAGGTGAGCAGAAGTACCAATAAAATGAAAAAAGAGGTGCGTTTGGATTTTTTTATTGGTTTACAAGACGGAAGATCAACACTTAGGATAACAAATGTTCAGGCGTATGATTAGGTGTGAGGAAAATATGTGATGAGTCATCGTGAGGGAAAAACATGGATCAAATGCTTACCTAAAAGTCAATGACTTATCCAAACAAGTGAGAGAGACACCACATATTCACCCAAAACTTTAAGGTGATAAATGTATGGGTTCTCTCACTTATAAAGTGTTTAACCTCCATTTTTTTAAGCAATGTGAGACTTAGAACTCACACTTATTTCTTAACATAATTCACTTGTTTCCCAATAATCTCCCCTAAAGTGTGAGTTCATCCACTATGCTCCCCCTCAAACGGAAACTCTTTCATCCATTATGCTCCCCCTCAAACGAAAACTCTTTCATCCACATGTTTGTACCGTCGTTGAGAGATATGATTATATCTTCATGGATACTTCAATGGAACACGTAGCCTGACCACCATGTCAAGAATACTTTCGACGCAATGAGTCGCTCTCTTACTCGAACCATCGGCTCTGATACCACTGATGGATCATTAGGAGGAAAAGTATACACATTGAATCAAACATTCACGTAAAGGTCAAAGACTCACAAAACAAGTGAGAGAGACATCACATATTCACCAAAAATCTTAAGGTGATAAGTGTTTGGGTCCTCTCACTTATAAAGTGCTCAACCTCCACTTTTCTAATCAATGTGAGACTAAGAACTCACACTTGTTTCTCAACACAACTCACACTTGTTTCTCAATAATATGAATGTGTAGACTTGACTGAGATTTTTCTCTGATGGAATTGAGAACTGAAGGTTTTACTGTAGGACAAATAACCCTCACAAGTTGCTTCAAGTTGTCAAACATGAGAAAATGTATTCCGACAATCAACATGCTTTCATATTATTTGTTTTGAAACTTTTAATTTTCTAGTATTAGAGGCATTGAATCTTTTTATAAAGAGTCCAAAGAAGCATGCATAACAATATTGTCTATCCTAAATCAATGAATGTAATTTTTAATAAGATTGATATTTCCATTAAAAAAAGAATAGTGACGCATATTGTTTTGCGTTCGCCTTATACTTTTCAGGTCGATGTCAGCTACCTCATCGTGGACACCATATTACCTTACAACATCATCCTGGGGTGCCCTGTCATCAATGGCTTATGGGCGGTCGTGTTCACCCGATATTTAACCTTGAAATATTTTCTCATAGATGGCAAAGTGAGAACCATTCAAGGAGATCAACAAGTGGCTCGTGAGTGCTACCTGAGCAGCCTGGAGACAGCCAGAGAAGAGCTCTCCCTTGTTGATGCTCAACCTTTCGAAGTTCCACCTAGTTTGCCAACATAGTCTTGATACAGAAGGCCAATAACAAATGGTGCATGTGTGTAGACTTCACGGATATGAATCTCGCCTGCCCTTAGAACTCATATCTATTATCGAATATCGACCTACTAATCGAAGGATCCTCAGACTACCGTGTGTTGAGTTTCATGGACACCTACTCAGGATGCAACCAAAACAAGATAGATCTTTTGGATGCCCCCAAAATCTCCTTCATGTCAAACTAGATCAACTACTACTACAATGTCTTACCTTTCTACCTCAAAAATGATGGTGCCTCATACTAGCGACTCATGGATGTTGTCTTCTCCCATCAAATTAGGGGGAACCTTGAGGTATATTTTGATGACATGATTATCAAGATGATCGAAGGGCACAACCACGTTGATGGCTTGGAGGATATCCTACAATCAATAAGAAAGTATGACATGCACCTAAATTCCGCTAAATGCTCTTTTGGAGTACAGGCAGGGAAATTTTTTGGACTCGTGCTGACGAGGAGGAGGATTGAAACCAGTCCAGAAAAATGACAAGCGGTCATCGATATGAGGAGCCCCACTAATGTGAAAGAAGTGTAACAACTTACTGGACGCCTAACTGCCCTTTCTCACTTTCTCTCCTATGTGGGAGATAAGGCTTTCCTCTTTTTTATTTCCTTAACGAAAAAGGAGAAATTCAAATGAACACCCGAATGTGAGGATGTTTTCACCAAGATCAATGAGTTCGTCACGTCGCCTCCGACTCTCACTCGCACGAGGGAAGATTCACCTCTGCTCTTTTACCTTTCAGTCATGGAGCAAGCGATGAGCTTAGTCCTAGTCGAATAAATAAAGCAGAGAGACTTGTGTATTTCGTAAACAAAGTGTTAGATGCGACAATTTCTAGATCTTTCGACGACATAATCAATAAATTGTGCATCTTGAAAAAAATAATTTATATGTGCTTGAGATAAAAGCACACAAAATGGTTGAAAAAAAGGGGTTAGATTTTGATCGTACCTGACCAGAGAGATTGTTGAGTTGCCACGCGTTGAGTTGTCGAACAGTTGACTTGATGGACAGAGGGGGTGTACTTGAAACACACTTTAATGCCAAAGTGAGCGACGAGCAGAGTAGTAACAAGTACAGAGAGAAGAGTGAGAAAGTTAAGTTACCTGACCCTCTAGTGGAAGAGTGTATTTATAATGAACCCCCTGGGCAGGGTCAACGGTTACTCTGTGTTGGGCTGGGCTGCCAGGCCCAACGTAGGTAACTACTAGAGCTGACATGGCATCGTGAATTCCAGCACGTGGTCTTCACCCTAGTGTAATTGTTCTATGCTATCTGGGAGGTGGAAGACCGAATCTCTAGGACGTGGGTAGTTACTAGATGACGTGTCCCTGCGTTGGGGACACGTAGAGAACGTGGGAGAGGTCTGAGGAGCTCCCCGGGCAGGCTGGGTTCTGCTCGACGACGGGGGAGAAAGAGGTTGGTCGGACAGCTACGAGGGTCCTGCCCAACGGTTGTTGGCATGTGCCCGACGGGGGAAGATGTTGTGCCCGACGGATCTCCTGCCCGTCCGTGAGGTCCTATTGGGCCCAAATCCAGTGGGGTTTAGGCCTGCTCGATTGTGGGATAAGCGTTGGCCCAGACCAGAACAGATTCGAATAAAAAAATATTATTTGGATCAAATGAGCAAAATGATGTGGAATGAAAGAAATAACAATTTTTTGAAAAAGATGCTAGTTGATTCGAATCAGAGAAAATGTGATTCGAATCAAATGCTTTATGATTTGAATCAAGCACAAAATTTGATTCGGATCGAATGACACTTAACTAACAAGGTTTTTAGGAAAAAGGATTTGATTCAAATCATGTTCAAAATTTGATTCGGATCAAATCAAACATGAATTTTGAAAAATGAAATTGATTTGAATCATGTACAAATTTTGATTTGAATCAAACTAAACAAAATTTGTTCCCAGAAAAATGATCAGGATCAAATAGCTAAGTTTAGCTACTGGCCAATTTGATCAGGATAAAAAATTTAGTGTAAAACTGAATGATTCGAAACAATCTTGTAAAATCTCAAATTCTCAAGTTTCAAAAGCATTTTGAGATTTTACCTTTGAATCAACTTTGACCAAAAACACAAAATGATTTCATTGAACTAACATAAGCTATTGATCAAAGAACATTTAGATCAAGATCAAATTTAACCAAATTTTATGCATGTTAAAAACGAATAAAATCAAACACGATTTCGAGAAATGCAATCATGAAGGAGACTCAATGAATTGAAATAAAAAAAAAAGACAAAAATAATAAGACAATCAACAAAATAATTAGATAATAGGGACATGCAACAACATATTTAAATACTCGTTATGCCATAATCTCCAAATTCTTTTTTGAAGGAATCGTTAAGTAGTTTATTTATCCAGCCAGACTTAATCTAGAGTCACGCATTAAGTAGTTTAGTCGATGAACAAATTTGAAGCATAAATAAAATAAAGGTAATTGCATATATTAAGTTGGGTAACCCTCACCCGATTACTTAGTCCAACGATGTTTGAACCTCAAAAATCCAAATAAAACATGTGTGTCTTTAATCAAAAGCCTAAGTGCAAAAACATGAATAAAAACGCTTATCGGATTTCCTATCATGTGTGTGATGATTACATAGATACCTAAGTGTATTAATGTGACTATCTGAATGAACGAGGATGAAAGAATCAGGATAGTAAGACTAAAATACAACGATGTGATTTTAAATTTTTGTCCGAAAAGTGCGGTTTGTGTTTTTACATATCATTGGTGTTAGAATTAGTACCTATGGAATTAACCACATATGAGTACTAGTGTTGTTGCTTTTCATGAGTCCATTTCATGTTGTTGGATTTATTGTTTCATATTGTTGGTTCAAGTGTAGGAGAGTTTGATAACACACAACTTTATCGTATTTTCAACTTGATTTTCACATGTTTTTAGTGTCAATTGTGTCACATTTGCTCTGTTATGTCGGTATTGTGTGTTGTATTTCAAGTATTAATCACCCATTGACCTCTACACGTTAAAAAAATGGCGAAAACGGAAGGAAAAAGAACAAGTTCTAACCGTCATGACGAGCACAATCCAGTCATGACGATCGTCATAGCTCTACAATATCCATATTGTCAACCAAGATAAGAGAAAACAATGGGTGAATGTGCAAATGCCATGACAATCACACCGTCACCTGAGT